AGAGGACGTGTGTTTTGTGAGGCGTTATGTGGATGATATTTTTGTGTGCACCTTCCGGGATGACCTGTTGAACCGTCTCGAGCATTTGATAAGATCAGCAGCCCCCCGAACTACGCTTCACCGTAGAGAAACCGGAGAATGGAATATTACAATTCCTGGATCTGCGGATTCACACTGATAAAGGTCTCTGCTGGGAGTACGGCAAAGAAAACCCGAAACCTGTTCTGTCAAAAAGTAGCTGCCATTCGAAAACGGTGAAAGCGGGAGTGGTAAAGTCTTTGATAAGAAATGCTCTAGACCGATCATGCATACATTTTATCACAAATTCGGTGGAAGGTCAATGGAAGAGGCTAAGAGGGGCAGGGTATGAAGAAGAGTTCATCAGAAGGAATTTAGATGTACACACCAAGGAGAAAAAGGAAAGAGAAGACACGTCGAAAAGACGGATCGCTGTGATCCCGTATTTTTATGGAATTTCACGTTACCTGAAGGCGTGTGCTAAGCAGTTTGGAGTTGAAACAGTTTTTAGTTCTGATTTCAGGTTAGATAGATTAACTCCTTTTGAAACTGAAATGCAAGAGTGCAGGAAAGGTCACCGTGAAAAATCGATCTCGTGCAGAAACAGTGTAGTGTATGAAATTCCGATGGCGTGTGGCTTTGCTTATGTAGGGCAAACTTCGAGGTGTGTAAATGACAGACTAACAGAACATAAGAGAAATGTAAGGATTAACGGTACTAATTCTGAAATAGCTAAGCACATAAATGAATGTAACAATTGCACTGCATTGTGGTTTGAGACGGAAATAATACATAAAGAAGTGAATGACAGTAAGAGACTGGTAAGGGAAACCATTCGGATTAAATCAATCGGTAATTGTATAAGTCAGGCTTCATTGCAGTTGGGAAACAATGCTAAAGCATTTTTAGGACTGTAAACAAGTTTCCTTTTTTTTTTAAGGGTGAAGTGGTTTTGCGTTTTTTAGAGTGAGTCCTTCTGTATCTGTCTGTTATGGTTGTTCCGGTTTGGAGATATTCTTCCCAGTTCTCTTAGTATTCGCGGACATCGTTGGTCTTTGTACTCAAGCTTTGGGTCTTGCTGGTTCGTGGGTGTAGTGTCAGTGACACACAGAGAGAAAAGAGAAGGAAAGGAAAAATGAAAAGTTGTTCTTTCCGGACAAGTGGATGGTTTGCCCCTGTTCGTAGTATTGCTTAATCCCTTTGCATTGTTGTCTTTGAATTTTTTTTTTTGGTGTGTTGTGTCTTTGAAAGGGGCGTGTTGAGTGTTTGGGTGACCTTGTGGTTGTGAGTATATAAGGATGTGGGACTAAATAAATCTTTTAGCTGCGTTTGAGACTTTCTCTTCTTCACTTGTCTCTGTCCCTTCTACTTTTAAGTTTCTGTTTCTACCCCAGTCTCGGGTTAAGTTCCATCATGGTAAATATCCACCAGCTCGCCTGCACTTTAACCGTTTCACCATCGATGCGTTGACCCTGGAACTGCATTTTACAAGAGCGAAAGTTTCGCGGAATTTCCGAGGTCAAACGTGTGTAATACCTGTAGGAAAGGCTTGTTTATAACATTGACAAAAGTTTTTCGAGCCAAGAAAGAAAGGATAATGCGCAAGAGAAATAGTAAATATGCCGGACCGCCGAGTTTACACTGCTACCCAATAGATGGTGTCAGTGTGTCCTCTCGTTGTAAGAGGTTTTAAGGAACCCAATTTTAAGAGGTCGCAAGAGTGTGAACGGGCCTTTAGAGAACCATGCAGTGAACGGAAAACTTCACAGTTCATGCGTTCTTGGCATTTCATCAGGTTGTCGGCAGGACTCTTCACGATGTATAATATGTGCATTACTTTGGTGTTTGTTGATTTTTCTGGAAACGGGTGCCAGCAGGTACGGGCATAGACAATCGTAATTATATTCGTGCATCTGTACAACTTTTTTTGTTATTTTATTTTAAAGCTTGCTATTTAGTTTTGAAAGAACTTCGTGGTTCCCATGGCGAAGTTGCAGACATTATATTGGTATGCTCAAATCCAGTCCAAGGTCAGAACTAATGCCAAGGCATCTAAAAAAAATAATGTGACCAGAAACAATGTCATTTATTATGTTGTCAAGCTAGGCCTCGCAAATATTAGCCAAGTCAGGTCCACTAATACCCACCCATGTAGGAGGGTGTCTTTAGTGCCCATGCTTGTTGTTTAATTAGACCTTCAACATGGTTTCTTACTATGTAGGACTTGCATTACGAATGAGTTTTCTAGTTAACGGTGGTGTTCCTGTTAACAAACCATTGTATTAGGTAGGTAGAAAATAAGAATGAAGTGAACTTTAGTCTTTAATGGCAAGTAGGTTCATATGGAATCATTTTTGCTTCAGTGGAGGCTCAAGTATGCACGACACTGAAGGGACTTTCCTTTCAGTCGACGCAGACAAGGGTACCACAAGAGCCAGCGAGGGAAAGAGAACGGGACCTCTTGGTGTCAACGCCTTGCCGCCTGCGTGGCTGTGCCCCGAACCGTGCAGTTTTTGCCGAGGTAAACAATTCGGCCTTTTGAAAGTTTTTCGGATAAAAGAAAACATGGCTCACTTGCATGCCTTGCTGTAAACAATCCAATGCAGCACCGAAATTCGTGAGTTGCAGATAATGTCACAGGTAGGATAGATAATCTCTACATTCTCAGAGTTCTGTGGACAAAGGGGCTGCCCAAAGATTACACAGCAGGATGGCGCCCCGCTACAGATCACCAGTTTATGTCGTATCATAGCCTCCTTTATACTGACGAAACCTGGCAGATTGCCACGAGGAGCGGTCGCCGAAATGGAAAAGGTGGAGTGGCATACAACGGAGAAGAGTCTCGCTGCAGCGGACGCGAAACACGAAAAAAGTATGTTTTGAGACCTCGCCACTGCAAAAGCTGTGTGCTGACGTCCAGGTTCCCCGAGGAATGGCTCTTTAATGCTCTGTGCTACCAAATCCTCACGTTCCAAATCTGTGACCAGGCACTCTATGACTCCGTCGTTGAAATGGCAGGCTTTATGAGTATAGAGGTGCTATGGTCATACTCTAATCCACTTTACTCCTTTTTTTCAGTGGGAGAGCATTGTTTTGTTTGCATTCTTAAAAAGAGGGTTAGACTGTTATTATTAAATTGGTGCGGACAACCACTAGTAAGCTCAGTTTGCTGTCGTCAGGGCCTACGCTATTCTTATCAATGCCGATCTTCGCAAAAGAAAACAAGATGGGGGAAGGGACAAGAGCAGAGGAAAGCCGTGCCGTTTGCGTGGTAGATGTAACAACTCATGCTGAAGATAAATCACATGTAACTAAGGTTGTTTAAGATAAATGTGTTTGAAAGGGTGTCTTCGCTATGCCAATCTGTAAACATATTTTTTTTTTAAAGCTGGAGACCAAGTGAGATAAGTATCATCTGCTGTCTTCTCAACTGGTTATTTCAATATTTTATTAGGAGTACTTGGCCATGACTTCAAAACAAACTAAAGACCAGATTCGGGCTCATGTTGGAAGGCGGGTCTTTCCTGCCAAACTTCAGAAACATTTATCTAAGCAAAGATGATAAACAAATAACTATTATTTTTAGTGTACCGCCGTTTCTGCATGCAAAAGATGCCTATATAGGTACAGCACATGAAAAGTTATGAGACTTTCTAGTGCAGAGATGCATTATGTACTCTTTTTTTTTATTGTTGATGAGTAATGATGGAAATTGTAATGATTACTACCTTGTAGTAGGCCTTGTACATGAAGCATTCCCTCACATGCACACACGTGTTAAAGCAAGCTTTCAGCCCTCTCTAAATTCCATCTGAGCTTGCTTTCGTTACAACTCAAAAGGGAGCACAATAAGACGGGGACGAGAAAGGAAGAAACAGGCGCTCACTACCAACTAGTTTATTCAGAAAAAAAGTCTTCCCTTCCTTTCTTGTCCCTGCCTTAATGTACTCTTTTCTTTCATTGCAGCCACGAAGCACCTTGCCCAGCAAAGAATTTTATAATGCTTTCTTTGACTGTACTAGACACTCTCAGTAGATAAGCCCCAGTCTTGCCTAGCAACTAGATTATGCAGGGTGCTGCAGAACAGGTTCAGCTAGACTTGGTATAATCCCCTCTTTCCTCAGTAGGGAGCGTGCCCTTGTGCTTCAAGTGCTCTCAGTGCACTTACTGATTTATTATTTACGTTCCCTTTGAGCCTTAAAGTGATATTCTTTTAAAAGAAAAAGCAGACAATAGCAGCAGCAGCCTCCCCCACCCCTCCACTCTCTATTTCTCTCCGTGGGAATATTTTAGGTTCCTCCTAATGGCTAAAATAATTTTGAATGCAATAGTCTGCATTTTTATGGTGTCCATCTGTAACCTGATACATCATCAGGGTGTCTACCAACCTGAAATTCTCAGGGAAATCGTCAAAAAGTTGGCTTCATCAGGGAAAATGACCACTGAGAGTGGAACGGCGATATGAAACAAAGCTTGATGGTTGCACATGGGCACGACTATGCTGAATAAAGTTTCCGAATTATGATCCTTTCACCCAGAAGTGGTCCGGAAGTTTTTATCGAAATAGTCGAGGGAAATTTTAGAAAAGTCGAGGAATTTGAAATCAGAAATTTGGTAGGCACCCTGATGCACTAGTTCCACCGTACAACATGCTTCATAATCAAGTGAGAATTCGGGAAAGCGAAATATAGAAAGGCAGCAATGGGCGTCTGCCTCACTTGCCTTCACCCTGTTGCATGGACTTTCCATCTATGACACTGCGGGCACTTAACATGTCCTCGACAATTTTACTTTGCTCACCTACAACTTCGTCTGACTTCCAAAACTTATTTCTTATCATTGGCTTTTTTTTTCCCAGGACCCACCCAGGAAAGACTTTCGGGAACCCGGCGTTACTTTTCACTGGAAAGCACCCATGGACATCTGGCAGCATGTGCGTTGTACGCGGGTACCTATCAATCGACATCCTGGACTTTTCGGCAGGAATCTCTCGGGTATTAGCCATGTACTGAGCATAGAAAGGTCAGTATGTGGGGGGAATCGACGAAGCACACTTTTTGTGTTTGAGCACCCTCATGGGCAAAAAAAATACAAAGATCTCGGTAGGAGCTGTGAAAGTTGTGACAGCATTTGGAGCACATTCCTAGAACAGGGAAAAAGAATTACCAATATTGGTTACTCTTTTAATGTTTTCCATATGTATTTGGTGAATATTCCAGCTATAATACAAAGGTTTGTGTGTTCCATTGTGTATCTAAACTTCTGTTAGATTTGTTTTTTGTGCAGCTGTTGATATGAGGATTCAAACCATAGAAGAAGAAACTGCAAAAAGAAAAACAAAGCTTTGAAAAAACAGCAAGTAGGCGAACAAAGCTTTTAGGAAACTTGTTGTAATTTTTTTAAATTCTAATTTAATCCTCAACATCAAGCAGGCAAAGCAAGCCTTCACAAAACTTGTCATTGTAATTTATTTTCGTTCTTATCTAATAGTTATACCAGTTTTGTGTATTAGTATTATTTCTTATGATGTTATTTGTTTAGTGTATGTGATAAAACCCCTGTGATAAGCCGAAGCAGGCTTTTGAACCAATATGTATCACATTAATTTCTAATAAAGTAATTGTTTTAAATACTTGTGGCTTGTTTTGCAGTGCCTGCATGGTAGGACTCATGAAGTTGCATTTCCACAAATGGCAGTGATATGAGCTGAGAGAAAACAGCTATCTTTATTGTTAAATTTGAAGATTCCTGCAATTTATTGCCACCCACCTGCCCACTCTAAGCAGGCATAAAGCAACAGAACATGCTCGTTCACACCAGCTCTTGCCAATAGTATGGACATGTGACAAAAAAGATATACAACCTATTGTAAATGATAAGTATAACCAAACTAATAGAAAGTTAAGCTGCCGATTAAAAAAAAACTTTTACTTTTTTTTTGTTGTGTGCAAATTCCAATGTAACAAAACAATGCTGTCCTGAAAGCTTCTGTTGTGTTTCATGATAAATTTAAGAGCAGCATTCAGTTCAGCATCGTTAAGGCCATCATCGTTCATTTTTCCATGTTTCATTACAGGAAATCGTAGGATATCAGTTCTGCATTTCGACGTTTACACTTGCAGACAATTGATGTCACCGCTTCTTTTAGGTGGAATCAAAATTCCCATTTCAACTTTTATATTTTCACACAATTGATGTTACTACCCTTTTTTTGGAGTAATTCAAGTTGAACCTCGCAGGCGACAAGAAGTCTCCTAGCGATCACAATGCCTCCCTTTGTTCAACAAACTGATACTTGACTAGGGCTGCTATACTCCAGACAAACTGAGAGTCAGCACTGACTATCTTTCGGAGAGTAGCTCATACACTCCCATGACTCTTTTGCGATAGGAGTCGGGGGACTCTTCATAAAAGGAGGGTACTCACAACTTTTGTTACAGAGTCACGGGGATTATTAGGAAGGAGTCGTGTGACTCTTTTTCTCCGTTGGATAAGAGTCGTTAAAGAGTCGCAGTTGACTACGTCACCTGGAGTCGCCCATACACTACCAGGACTCTAGTGTGATGAGAGTCGCAGGACTCTTTTTTAAATAAGAGTCAAGTGACTCTACAAACTGGAGTCGTGGAGGAGTCAAATCTGTAGCGCGCAAAGGAGTCATGGCGACTCTCTTTAAAAAAAGAGTCGAGCGACTCTACAGACTGGAGTTGATTCTGCGGGGCGCCAATACCCCCCAAAGAGAGTCATAGCGACTCTTTTTTTTTTAAGAGTGTACCCCTCTTTTGTCGCCACTGGATCATGCCCTTTCTGGACTGCAAGTGCCGGATGTTGCAAATACAGTCTTAAGAGTAAAGTAAAATGCTGCTCCAGAGGCACATGCATCTTCATGTACGTTGCACTCACGAAACAAATCCACACGGCGTTAATTCTTGATCGGTATTCAAGCGTGCGAAGACAGAGATGCAGCACTTTGGCATGCCAAGGAAGCTTTGATCATGCCGCCAGAACGGCGAGACTTGCGTTAGACGAGTTACTCCTTTTCTTGTGGTGCTGAACTTGCATAAAAATTTCCACGTGCTCTCAAACGCAATTCTCACCGTTCGGGGTTTTAACAAACTTCGGTAAATGACAACGAAAAGCAGAAAACATGTCTTCAGCTCGCTGCCGCCCAGCCTCTGCAATGCTCGAAAAGGTTGACTGATAATCTGTGTCCCAAGGTGGCCATCCGGTGGCCGCACCTGAGCTGCAACGACCAAGCGGAGGCGCGCGATACAGCAAATTGTCGTGGAGATCAATGGTTTTGATTGCACGGCATACTATTAGTCTTCAGAACAAACACAAGTGTCGCTGCGGTCGCCACGTCTTGATTGGGTGAGGTGTACCGTGACGTCTGGCGACGGACTCCGCTTCGCGCTCTGGCATCTGGCTCGCTTCCCTGCGCCCGTTTCCTCACGACCGGAGGTTTGTGATCATGCCGACCTACTGTTCAGCGCTGCAATGCAATTTCCAAAAAGAAGCCGGTATCATATTTTACCACCCGAAAACTTCGAGATTAAAGAAAGCATGGTCAGTCAGACTAAGGATGGGAAAGGCACCGTCAACATCGGCCGTTGTGTGCTGTAAGCACGTTGAGAAGCGGGGCTTCGTTTACCCAGTGTACAAGGCCCTGGGTGAGACTTATACTGACAGAATTTTCATAGCTTTTCCAACCGTGTTTGTCACGTTTACCAATTGGGTTATAAGTATGGAAAGCTATCGGTGGAGGCAATTCCGTCGATGAACCCCCCCGCCCCCTCCACACGATGTAAGGCGATTGTGCAAGGGGTTCTGGAAGCGGCGGTGTAAGTGTTTCATACACTGAAATTCTGTTCTTTGCAGCTTCATGGGTTAGGAGAACATCAGACCCCGCTTTGCGGGCATACAAATGGCATTTAAGTCAAAGGCCTTTGGGTGGTCTCACTTGTGATTTTCTCTCCATGGCCCAGAATATATTTAACATGTTGCTCGTGCAGAGTGCAGCTTTTTCGCTGAGATGTTTTCGTTTAGAAACAAAGATGAAAAAACCTCTTAATTTATTCAAATCAGCAGCAGCATTGATTGTGCGAGATGTAAATATATTGCAATGCTCCTGCAAGTGTGGTGGCATTTCTTCCTTTTCATATACCAGCTGTGATTCATGCGCTGTCTGCCCTGGAAACCATGCTCGGAATGTTGGTTGAAGTTTCGCCTGCAACTACAGATCAATAAGGCCGCATATAATAATTCACATTTCCTACGTAAAACGTGCACAAAAAAAAAGAAAATAAACTAGTATGCCGAGAGCTAACGACGTCTCGGCCTTTGCAGGGCGAGTGAGGGGATAAATTTTGTCCTCAGCATGACGTCACCCTGGCTCGCCGTAAGGGGTCGCCACCCAAACTTCTCGGTGCTAATACTCTCACCATACAATGCACCTAGTATTTGTTTGGCCCCTGGCCATGAAATCATTCTCAGTTTGCCATTCCATCTCACCGGGAGCCCGATTTTGGTCATCGAGGTCTCAACCGGCTTGCACTGAAGAAGCTAATAGCGAGTTCGTTTCATGGCACTCGTGCCCACGCGTGTCCACTCGCAGTGTGGAGCGGGTTCGTTTCAGCCGGCACTCCACGAGTGGTTGCACTCTCCGAGTTTGTTTCATCGCTGACACCCCACGCGTGCATACACTCGCAGCACCGAGAAAATCGAGAATGCGCCAAAATGCAATCCCGTCATGCCTCGCTCCGGCGAGGCCGGCGAGTAGCAGGAGCAGACGACGAAAGTTCGCCTGCTACGATGTGTTGCGGAACTGAAAGGAAAAAAAGTAGATTTTCTGATAGAAATTGCGTCCTGCGGGCAACGGAATCAAACGCAAGCTTGAACTGTGAGCGTCTCATATTTCATGAAGGAAGCAGTTGACAAACCATGCTTTATTTGGAGGTTTTAAGTCGCTCTGTTACCGTAAAAACGCTGAAATATACCAGTGTGTAAAGAAATGCTCAGAATAAACGCATCACCGGCCCCCGAGATGTTTATTACCAACGTGTGCGGGTGAAAAATTTAACATTTGTCGACAAAACACTCCCCTAGCAGAAACCTTTGACTGCCCAATAAGCATCAGAGAAAGCCAAACATAGTGATTTTACCCGAGGCTTGGGAACATCGTCATGTTTAACATTTACCTACGTCAGCTAACTTGCCCCATTGTGTTTTGATCGAGAAAGCTCCCGTTCTCGACGCCCTCACCAAGGCTAATATCTGATCCACCCGTAATGACGATGGAAATCGAAAGTCCCACGAAAGTTTTCGCTGGATATTCCAGCAGGCTAGTTTTAGGCCGTACCCTTTCAGTGGTCCACGCATAATGCCATGCTCAAACAGATCAAGCTTCTGCTCGGAAAGCATCATCAGTTTTCTTCAGTGTAAACGGTTATGAGAATTTAAAGATCGCAACCAGCTGCTTTGTGGACAGCAGGTTGCGGAAATTTACGCCGTCTGTAACTATATCTATGACAGCCGAGTTGCTTGAAGTCATCGCAACTATAAACTACAGGCTGCAGCAACCAACGTTTGTAGACAAACGTTGGTAGCGACTGCACTCTCGCATTCCCACCCATCACTCTGAACAGCAAGGCGCCAGTTTCGGTTTGAGGTTGGTATTCTTTCTACAACATAGATGGCGGCAGCATCAGCATTCCGCACTTGGTGCATTTGGCGAATTCGTTTGAGTCCAGTTCTCCGTGCAACACTCAGTGAGTGCGATGCATTCTGGGAGAGAACTCGAACGGTGCCAGTGCGTGTGAAACGAACTCGCTATAAAATACCGCTACCAGACGCATTGTCTGCTAGCATAAGGGAATAATAATGAGTTTGTTTGCTACTAGGTATCATTCTCTGGCAGAAACCGAACGACGAACAGACTGGCAAGTCATCTGCGAACAGAGCCAAAAAGGGACAATCGTGTGCTACGAATTGTGTTTGCGCAGAATGAGATCAAAAACTAATTGAAATATGGAACATCGGCTATCTTACTGATGCAATTGTTGTCCTGTGCTTCGTTTGGCTATGCTGATTTGTTTTCTGGCATGTGTAACTTGACACCCACTGGTGCTAAAACAAGAGCTTGGGACAAGCATCCACCTTACCACGATATCGATCTCACTATCCGAAAGAAGGGCACAGGTTCTCACCAAAAAATTGCCTCATCGACAGCGAAAAGAATTCTCATTGGTCAAGAGCGCTCGTCTGTGGCACTGTGTCCAATCACAGCGCGGCCCTAGTGAGATCTTGATCACGATCTCAACGATGACCAAAATCGGGCCCCAAAAACATTTTTTTCTTTCTGTTTTGGCGCTAGTTCTCTGTGTCTGTGAAAGTGCCTGTATATTTTCAAATATATAGAGATCTAAAATAGACAGATGAAGCTAATTTTTTTAATTATTTATTGTAGGCTGGAATTGGGAGAAGTATTCTTAGAAATTTGGTTCTGTCATGTTTCACTTCTGTGACAGTCATGCAAATGTGTATGCATGCTCTACTTTCAGTTCCGAAAAGACTATAGCGCCAGACAAAGATCGAGCTAATGATGCTAATGCCGGAAGGAGTGGCAATTATCATCAGTCTTGCCTCCAGGAAGATTTTGAGATGCAACAAGGAGCTGCTGGAGCACATCACCGTGATCTCAGTGGAAGGTGCCAACTGCAAGCTCATGAAGCGTAAGCTCCAAGTATTGGATTTATTTGCTGAGTGCCTTTTCCATTGACAAGAAGGCCCCAGCATTTTCTAAGAACTCCAGAAGGGTTTTGTTTTTGCATTTTTATACTCGCAACTCATTCACTTTGCCAATTTCGTTTTTCTAGCCTGGCTCAGCTGGCAGGCTGAGCAGTGAGTCTGAAACTGTACCATTGTTTCCGGTCAGACTGTCCATTATTATTTATTCTTCCCTGCTATTGTGATATATCTCCACTGTAGTCATGACAGGTGTTTGAATGGTGGCTCCTCCTTCTACACATGGGTCCTAGGAAACATTTTGTAAGTGATGAGGTGCCCACAATCATGGGCATCAGCAAAGTGGCAGAAGAAGGGGGGGGATTATTCTGGGGGTTTAGCTTTCGACCCTATAGCTTTGAAAGAAAACGAGGTTTGCCCCCCTCCCCCTCCTTTTCCTGCGGAGCATACTGCAGATGCCCATGCCCGCAATCTAGGTCAACAGTTCTGGAATGAGGGTCTCTAGAACCTCTCCGTAAAGGCATTTTAGGAATTCGCAAAACTCTGCCGGCAATAATTTTTTTTAATTTTTTTTATTATGATTTGGGGCATTGAGTGAAGCCCAGTCCAGCCATGGCGCATTCACAGCTCCGGGAGAAAAAGGAATCTACAGAAGAATACCTCTTTTCACTCTTCCCCCTTTTTATTCTTGCAAAACACGTTTGCAGTCCACCCCTCCCACCCTCCCCCCTTCCCCTTTTTTTACGCTGCCTGGCGTCTCCCATCACTTCCGCCAGTCCAGTCCAAAAAGGGTTTGCTTGCCACAATTGGTGGTTTTTTTCTTTTCTCTGTAGCATCCTTTCTGCTAAAGTGGAAAGAGTGTAGACGGAGCTTCTTCCCCTCGCCGTACCGTCTTAATCTGCAACATACTATACCCTCGGGAACAATATAAATAGCCTTGTATCTTTTCTGCCGCCACAAATGCTGTGCAGGGAGTAGCTTAGCATGTTTTTGGCAGAGGCTTTTGCTGCCACCACACGCCGCGCTAAGTGGAGTGCCACGGTGTGTGCATGCCACATGTCGCATAAAGCAGGGCACTTTCAAGCTGCGTGGATGCATTGACGGCAGAAAAAACACCAGCGGAGCGGACAATACAGAGCATGCTATTAACAGCCCTGGTTAATTCGCTATAAATCACAATCTGAATCATTACTGTAGAACCATTTATTTTCGCTAATCAGTCACAGAGGACATAATCGCGGCCACTAAATTTTGCGAATTCCAGACGCCTACATTGAAACTCTTAATGAGATCATGAAAGCAATTTCGAAATTTTATTTGACGACTGAAATGGGCGTCGGGCTCGTCTCCGACACTGTTGACCAAGTTCCAGCCCGAACAGAAGTTTGTGTGCCGCACCAACCAATTAAACAGTTGTGGGTACGATGCCTGAGACCCCCCTCCCCCTCCCCCTCCCCCCCCCCCCCCCCCAAGACGGCAGCAGAAAGGTTAACCAAAGTGCGCCGTCAAAGCGTGACGACAACGGGCTCCTCGTCGGGCGATTACTTCAAACAGTTGAAACGAATGATGTGCTCTTGGTTTAGAATTCGGTGGTGAGATGTCATACAAAAAAGTAATTTGAATGTTGTATAATTTTTTAAAGTTGTAGTTTGGAATTAATAGGTTTCACAGCGTGTATAGGAATAGGTTCCATAGCATGTGTAGCGTGTAGGAGGACAAGGAAGAAGTCTTGTGGAAATAAATGACAGCTGTATACTGTGCTGGTTTTGAGACGGTGGTGTGTATGTTCCTTTTTGCTTCCTTGTCTCAAGGAAACAAAATTTTGACAGCAAATTTTGAACCCTGCTAGTGCACACCTTTCTGATCCAAAACTGACTTCGAGACCCAGTAGGTTTCAAAGCCGGTTTCAAATAAGAAAACCAACGCCAAAGTCAACTTCGAAACCTGGAATGTTTTGAAGTGATTTTTGGCGTTAGTTCCCGAAAAGATACGTAATCAGTTTGGTGGCCGGGAGCTAAAAGCATTTCATGCTTAAAATCATACTCATCAGTGTGGCCTTTATTATTCTCTGACTAAATCAATTCTGCTTTTATATGCAGGAGGGAACCATCCCGATGGCACCCTGCGTTGCCTTCTCGGGGTACGATGTGGAGGCAGCGAAGAGCATGAATATACACGTTGATACAGTTTGGCTTTTCGAAGTGTAAGATGCGGAGGATGGCTTTACTGTGGTCATGGCGGCCTACTGGCTTTTCGGCTTCACCCATGTCCAGAAGACGTACAATACGAGCTGCCTTCTTGAGAAGCTTTGTCTTATTCTAATCTACTCACAGCTACGGCCAGTTGCAATCAAGGTGATAAATACAATCAGGGAAACACCTGTAGCCTGACTGCTGATCACATAGTGCGATCGCCAAGGTCTGTAAAACTCCTGCCAGGATTGTTTCGATTTTCGAAATCACTAAAGGCTTTGTTTGTTTTTCTTGAGATGGCAGCTGCAAGTTGTGTGGCTCACATACCTAAGTATGCTTCAATTCATGACCAGCTTCATTCGTTTATGTTCATCACATTTCTCTAGTCCTCTTTGTTGTTTCCTAGCCGTCAAACTATTAGGCACGTGTATGGAGCAGTTACATTTTGTTTTTACGTTTTTATCAAAACGGTTTGTGTCAGCATGTCTGGAATTCAGCACCCTTACAACGAAATGTCAAATTAATCTTATGCTGAGATACTTTCTAAAAGTGGAGATGACTGGCATTAAATGTTGTGTTTCTTTATCGCTCCTGTTCATACTTTATATATTACTTCAGTCAAAAGACACCACCAGTGTTCAATATGCCCCGTCCCAGCACAAGCTTCTCAGCCTGGATAAAGTGGGCATGAGTGAGCACGTACTAAGCAGTACCGAAGGTAATGAGCGTGCACTGCTGCATTTTCAAAGCTTCAGAAATGCTCTTTTTTAGAAAAAAAATAAAAGACAGGCATTGTTGTGGTATATTCATAACATTGTGGCTTTGTTGAAGAATGCGGGCATTCTGAAGGTGTTGCCGAAGGCTTGCCAGGATGACAGCGTGGTCGAAGGTGACAAGTACGAGCAAGTACACGCTCTATCGCAAGCTCTTGTTCTGCGAAAGCACTTCGCAAAGTCGCTCTTGCATGCCTGTAGCCTTTGCTGCCCTACAGTGGTAATGGTAGGCAACTCCGGCTGAAGACACAAGAAATTATCACATCACTGCCACACTCCGTTTCCCTTTAAAGGGATGATCAACCGAAATTTGGATTACAGAAAACGATGCAGAAGCCGTAGGCAGGACGCTACAATCCCTACAACACTACTCGTTGTCATAAGGCGATATCTCGAATGGACGGCCGTATTTTTGGAAAAAGAGGTTGAGATTGAACGAGGCCGATGAGGCGCGTGACGTCGAGATACCTAGTTTCCTCCTCTCTCCGCTTTGCCCTAAAGGCGGCGAGGCGGAGAAGATGTGAGGTCGTTCCCTCTCCTTCTCGAAGAAACAAGACAGACAAATCTGTGAAATGCGCCTCCTTTTTTTTTAAAATAAGGTCATCCGTTCGAGATATCGCTGTACGAGTGATGTTTTGGTGTTTGTAGCATCTTGTTACACGCTTTTGCCGCCGTGTTTTGTGGAATCCAGATTTTGATTCAACGTCCCTTAAAGTGCAAGTGAAACCGAAATGCCAAGAACGAGCACGTTGTTCTGAACGGCACAAACACGCATGCTTAGCAACATTCAAAGCATGTTTGTTTGTTGGTGTTTTATGGCGCAAGGGCAACACGAGGGCCAAATAGCGCCAAGATCCTGTTTATCTGATTTAAAATGTATGTTAGTGCTTATAGGTAAAACCAATGTGCTATGTTTAGCTAATATACAAATGGGTAATAAGGCCTATAGAGTGTAAAGGGCTCCAAAAATTCATGTATACTAGAGAAGTGACTTGAGGCCACTTTTTTGAAGGAACGTGAATAAGTCTTTGAGTGGAATCTGAGGTTCAGGACCTAACACCAAACACGGATGAAATGGAATGTTTAATCTTCTTAGTGGTGCTAAAAGTGGTTTAAGGAAAGGTTCCAGCTTCCTGCAAACAAACAGATGCATTACTGTAAGGTCTGAGTCGCATATTTCGCAGGTAGGAGGTTCATTGCCCATTAAGAGATGTGAGTGCGTTAAGCGTGTATGTCCAATGCGCAGTCGTGTTAACAATACACTGTCATGACGCGAGAGGTGACGATGGTCCTGAAATTTATCTGTAGTAGGGTGAAGGGTATGAAACTGGTTACCTTCACATTTCTTCCATTGCCGCAACCACTTTGTCGCTACACTCTTGGACATCTCACGGCGAATGTCACTTAAGGGCAGAGGCATCTGTGTTCTGTCTTCGAACGGACCTTGTCGGGCAGTTTTGTCGGCAAGCTCATTTCCAGTGATGCCACTATGCCCTGGAACCCAGAGGAACCGAACGTTTCCGCCTATTGACTGGATTTCTCCTAACAGCGTATGAATATCTACAATAAACGGGTGTTTCTTAGGCTCTATAGCACAGATGGACATAAGTGCACTTAAAGAGTCGGAGCATATCAGTGATTTCTTGATCCGGGACTTTCTGATGTGCTTAAGCGAAGCAATAATTGCATATAATTTAGATGTGAAGACAGATGCTATTGGAGACAACTGGAAAGCATTTCTGGTGGTCCCAGAAACAAAGGCCGCTCCAACAGCATCGCCCATTCTAGAACCATCAGTGTAAAATGCCCGGTAGTCCTTGAACTCTTTAAGAATTTCTAAAAAAACACTGTTGGTACACCAGAGGCGCAGTACATGGCTTTTGGAACTTTGTTAACCGCAGATCACAGGAAATGCTTGGGTCATACCAATGGGGGAGTGGTGGACGAAAAGTTGAAACCTTGCTTATTGAAAACCTAGTGTCCGACAAAACTTGCTGCACACGAATTCCAAATGGTTGGACGACTGATGGGCGTCGAGCAAACAGGTCAGTGAAAGAGGGGGCTAGGACATGAGTGTAGGCTGGATTGTCCTTGTACATTGAAATTCTACCTGCATAAAATAGACCTAGCAATTCTCTCCTAAGACATAGGGCTGTTCATGGGCTGTTAGGTATAGGCTCTCCACTGGTGATGTTCGAAAAGCTCCCGTGCACAAACGAATTGCCTGGTGATGAACAGGATCAAGCTGTCGAATTGTGCTTTGTCTAGCCGATCCATAAACAAAGCTACCATAATCCAGTTTTGAACGCACTGTAGCCCGGTAAATATGCAGAAGAGACTCCACGTGTCCTCCCCAAGATGTGTGTGCAAGCACTTTAAGAATATTTAGTTTTTTTAGGCAGTTTTTGCGAAGATAGGCAATATGCTCTCAAAATGTCAGTTTTCGGTCAAAAATGACTCCAAGAAATATTTGAGAGTCCTTACAAGTAAGTTGTGTACCATTTAGTGACAGTTCGGGATTGGGGTACAGTCCACGTTTCCGCGTGAAATGTACAATGGCACTTTTTTCTGCCGAGAACTGAAATCCGTTTCGAAAACACCACTTGCCCAGTTTGTTTATGCAGAGCTGGAGTTGTCGCTCGGCAACTCGCAGAGATGAAGTCCTGATACAAATTTTAAGGTCATCGGCATATAAAGAGTGTTCGATGGGGCGAGAAATCCCACGGGAGAGTGAATTTATCTGAACCAAAAATAATGTGACACTTAAAATGCAGCCCTGGGGAACGCCCGTTTCCTGCATAAACTCGTCAGAAAGAACAGCTCCCCGGCGCACCTGAAAAGTGCGATCTGTTAAGAAGTTCTTAATGAACACCATCATGTTACCATTAAAACCCATTGACACCAGGTTACTAAGAATACCATGCCTCCATGTTGTATCATATGCCTTAGCAAGATCCAAGAAAACTGCCACCAGATGTTCACGCCTCACAAAGGCCGAGCGAACCTCTATCTCCAGAGACACAAGATGATCGAGGGTGGAGCGGTTTTTGCGGAAACCACACTGAGCTTGTGATAGTAAGTTTTTTGCCTCTAGGCAAAAAACAAGCCTTGAATTTATCATACGTTCCAGCACCTTGCAGAGGCAGCTGGTGAGAGCTATGGTCTGTAGTTCTGAGGATTTGTGTGATCTTTGCCTGGCTTTGGAATGGCTATAACGACTGCTTTCCTCCAGGATGTTGGGAACACCCCCGTTTCCCATATTCTGTTATAGAACTTCAGAAGAGCAAGTTTGGAATCGTGGGATAAGTTAGCAATCATTTTATAGTGTATGTTGCCTAAGCCAATTGCAGAATTCCGGCAATGCAGGGCGATAGCTCCAGCTCTCGAAAAGATAAAGGTTTGTTGTAAGGTTCCTCGCTACTGAGTTTTATTGGCAGTGGTTTTCTTTCTACTTGCGCGCAATAAACTAGAAAAGGTTTTTGGTATGAAGACTTGCTGGATACCCTATTGAAAAATATTTTTTACCGGAATGTCATTTCCAGTAAAAGTCTATTTTACTGGATTATGGGACTGTTTTCACTTCCAGTAAAGCCGTAGTTTACCGGAATGTCACCGGGTTGATTACTGGAATGTTACCGGTTGTTTTACAGGAATGTTACCGGATTTTTATCGGAATGGCACCAGATTTTTTTACCAAGATGTTACCGGATTTGTACCGGAAGTATATTTCCAGTAAAAATCTTTTTTACTGGATTATGGGACTCTTTTCACTTCCAGTAAAGCCACAATTTCGCAGAAGATCACCAGATTGGCCGGGATTTACCGTGTTTTTTTTTTCTTTTTTCGGACGTCAACGGAAGGCACTTAGGAGGAAGCTGGTGAACTGTGGTTGGTGTACCGTACCTAAAAATCCGGTATAACTTTTCGCTATCCGGATTATGGAACCGGAAAGCTATCTGGACTCTATCCGGATTCTATCTGGAGTTTAGGTTTTCAGAAATTATTCCTTTGTCTACAATCTGGATTTTGGGTTTCCAGAAACAAATTTCCGGTTCCATAATCCGGATAGGGAAAAGTTATACTGGATTTTTCGGTAGGGTATGTTTACCAGATGCTGGACGATTCGCTAACAATTAAAGTGGTTAGTCCATATAGACCTGAGGGTTCTATGCATTTATTTAACAGGGTCGATACCAGTGAAACAATTTGCAGAGCTGTAGGCAAAAGCAATCAGACCAAATAGGAATAACCAAGTCCTTTGCCGCAAAAGATATCTTTCAAGGTACTCACAATGC